TATATATATATCCTACTCAATTGCACCTGACTGGCTGATCGTCTCTTTCACATGCCTTATATCTCAGGGCTTTCATCAGCTGTTGGTGATGCGTTGGGACAGACAACTGAGTAAAGAGGTGTTGGGATCGTGGTTCGATCTGATGAACGCCAATGGCTGGATTGCACGAGAGCAGGTAATGGGTCTAGGATTTATGGACTAGGGTTTAGGGTTTAGGGGTTGCATGGCCAATTAGTATCCAATGATCTATGCTGTTATTCTATGGCAGACCCTCATATGTTCGTGGGGTTGTTCCGTAGAAGCGAGTACTTCCAAAGCTCGGTACTTTTATTCACTGACATAGGCGTGTTCTCGTGTCTCACACAGCGATTAAGCAAAAACTAACACTCCCCCCCCCCCCCCTCGCCGGAACACATCACGCAGAAAGCAAACACTCGCCTATGGGCGTGCTACATACACTAACGTATGAGTGTGTGTCATACACTAACCTATAAGTGTGTTTCATACACTAACGTATGAGTGTGTGCCATACACTAACCTATCAGTGTGTTCACGCAGAAAGTAAACACTCGCCTATGGGCATGCTACATACACTAGTGTAAGTGTGTGTCATGCGCTAACTTATAAGTGTGTTTCAAACACTAACCTATAAGTGTGTTTCGTTCATTAGGAACAATCACCAGAGGAGACCAATCCTCAAACATGTGTGTATGCTCATGTGCACAGACTTTGAGTGGCAAAGCCAGAAGTAGGATCCCGCCAGCATTCAGCAATCAGGAAGCAAACACTCCCGCATAAGCGTGATACATATACTATCATATAAGCATTTGCCCTTCACTATCATATATATGCATTGTATCTATGGCTACAAAGTATTACCAGAGTACACCGGTTCACTCACATGTGTGTACTAAAACATGCACAGGTACTTGGTGAAGAAGCACGTAGCAAGATACCACCGGAATACATTACACAGAAGGACAACCGAGCAAACCCTCCTACCTTCTTTGTGGCTATTGACGAGTTTGTCAGCGCGATCGACCAGGTATGGGGCAATCAAAACCAGTTGCTGTTAATAGAATAACAATTGCAGTTGAGAGTATGTGAATTACTATATATATGTATATATA